CTATTATTAGTAAGAGTTTGCCATGCGGCAGCGGAGCCTCATGTAGTTGAGGGGTGTTGACCGATACTCCTTCGTCAGAAAATTACACTGTGTAGCTAGAGTAAAAATATTTTTTATGTATATATATGTATTACATATTGACATTCCTTGACTTCTTTGCGATTTTACTTCTTTATATTTTGACACCCCTCAGTCAAAGTTCTGGCTCCATCACTGAGCCCGTGCCCTACGCTACGCTATCCCACCTTATCCAATTGCCATCCCTATTAAGCACAAGTCGATATATATTCTCTTGCGACAAAAATCTTAATGGATACGCATATCTCTTTTAATGAGTTCAATTTGAAATTTTGAATATTATTGACTCAAATGATTGGTTAGAATTAGATGCACATGATATAAACTTGAAGTTTGTATCGTTTCATTTAAAAATATAAATTATTAGAGAGATCATAATTCATAATTTTAATTAGTTAACATTATGTGATAAGTCTCGATTCATTTTGATTCAATCTTTGCTTTTAAGACTAATTAATTAATGACATAAAACACAGCACTAAACTAGGCGGTGATTCTGCTTAATTCCTAAGATTGACTAAGATTGTCCTAACATGGATTACTCATTTTGGAATAACTTTTAAAAAAAAAAATAATCTTAGTGTTTCTCATTATGTATGTAACGATATTTTAATGTACATAGATTATATTACATATATATAGTAAGAGGAATATTGTTATTGTACTAAGATCAATCCTAAACAAGAAATGTAGATAATTAATATAAGAAAGATATGTATATTTCTTTAATAAAATATATATTCTCTATTATGATGAGCTAATTGCTCACATGTATCCTAGTTAGTTTTGACTTTTGACTTTTATACACATTTTAGTCTTATGATATAAAAAATTTACATTGTTACGAAAGGTGAATTTACACATGTGAAATTAAATGATAATTTTCTGGACTTTAATCTTATAATTTGAAATTTCATAACAATACTTTTTTTTTGCATTATTGGTACTAAAAGTGATTATTTATAAATTTACCCTTTTTGATCTTCTCCTTTTAAATTCAGAAGAAACAAATATACCTCTTTAGCTCATCGACAGAGCCACATTGATGCAGACGGGTTCATATAATGCCTCACTTTTCACTTATTGATAAGTTCAAAATAATAAAAATATATGCTAGATATAAATATTGAATTTCCTCGACTTGAAACAGAAGCTTAATATAACGTATTTTATAATAGTTGAATCCTTGTTTAATTCTGATAAAAATTTTGATTCCTCGATTACTTTTTCTATCATATAGATTTGATTTAATTTGGATCAGAAGTAGTAAAGAAGAAAGTATGAAATGATTGAGAAGGGACCATGTGATTTATGAGGAAGGGTAAATGGGTGATTAGAGCATGTGAAATCAATATTGTTGTTTAATGCCCCCCACAAAACCATATAAAATTTCTATATATGTAAATAAAAATGGAGTTAAAGGGGTCCCCATTGGAGTCTAATATGTGTAACAATTGGTAGCCTACTCTTTGTGACAAGTAACATGTTAAATCACATTTTGGCCCTACTCCTCCCATTCCCAATTAGATGACTTCCTAGGAGACATGCATGGCCCAGGCATAGATACATAGTTCTTGAAAAATCATAAATAAAAAGATATTTTTATTAGTTCACGTCTTAAAATATTTTTTTGAAATTTTATAAATAAATATGAACACTTTCAAAAAGAATTAATTGCAGGGGCAATATAAAAAAAATTTAACTAATACTTTCTTGAGTTAGTAAGTTGAACAACTAATATGAAACAACTATTTTTTATAAAATTATCAATTAATATGGGACGAAGGAAGTAGTTGGGTAGGACCCTCTAGTTACACACACTACAAGAAAATATGAAATTAGTCGTGAAATTTATGAAAAATTTCTAGCTAATTCATCTCTAAAACGCTTCTACCTGATTGAATTTTCTTATAATCCATCGCTACTTTGTAGCTGAATGAAATAAGTATAATTTTTTTGTTATTTGAAGACAAATATAATTCCTCAATTTCTTATAGTGCCGTATTATAATAAAAGTAATGCTTATTGATCACTTTTTTAAAAAAAAATCTTAGTATTGAAAAATAGAACTGTTGTGAAATGCGAAGTACTAATTTTAGTGAAATTAAATTTAGGTGAAGTACTACGTAAGTTTAATTTCTATATTATACAATTTTTCTTACGTTATCAAGTTAAGAATATTTATTAGTCCAAGCGGTTAAAAATGTTTAAGGTTTTCTAACATGCATGCCCCCCTTCTAAAAATTATAAATTTTAATAAAGTGCCGTTTTATTATTTTTCAAGAAAATAAAAGAGGTTAGGATATGAATCATGAAAAAATAAAAATAAAATACAAATCACAAAAAAGAGGACATACGTTAAGGGCGAAAAACGCAACAAACTCAAGTTATTACTTATTACTACATCTATTAACATAAATATATAAAGATATAAATATATGAAAAAATTAAAGAGATTAAAATACAGTAATAATTACATAACTACCTTGCCTAATTTTTCAACAAAAATATATCAATTGACACCGTTTAAACAAAGACGATTTGCCTCATACTAAATTTAAATTTTAAACTATACAATGATGATAAAAAAATATTTTATTACAACATTAAGTTATTCAAAAGACAAATATATATAAGTCAAATTGTATAGAACTCTCATGCATGAAGGAATAATATAATTCTGTGGATTAATGTTTTTATTTTAGTGAAACATATGAAAACATTACCTCGTAATTTACAGTTGACAACATGCACACCTACATACATTTGTGTTGATTTGAGACAACTAGGTATGGGGAGCCATTTTAAAACGAAGGCTTATTGTTCTTTCTAGAAATTGTTGCAATCTTCATTGTTTCTCATAACCTGATTCTTGTCTGGTTGGCATTTAAGTGTTTCATCCAACATATTTTCTTGGAAAATATTTGTATTTGAATTTTTTATTTATTAATTTAGGTGTATTTATATGTAATATAGCAAATCACTACGAAATGGAATGAGGTGAGAGGATTAGAGGCAGATTTAGTATTTATTTTAAGAATTCTATTATGTGTCGTGAACCTAGTAACTAAGTAACATTTTGGTCCGGTAATAGAAATAGAACCTACTTAAGTCTTAAGTTTTGTTGCCCAAGAGTGTTTGAAATTACATGCATAACAGAAGCATATCAGACTTATACTACTTACATGAATAATAGATAATACCATATGTTTATGCTAGAACACACGATCATATGCTAGAACACATAAACTTTCTGAATTTTGATTCAAGAATTATCTCTTAAAGCTTGAGTAGATAACTTCAAGCAAATTCACAAGTTATACGATAGTTCTGCGATCTTCTAGAGTAATCCCAAGTTCACAATTGAACTATCTCAATACTTGGGTGGACAAGTATCGCATAGAAAACTTATCATCCTTCCTAGGTTAGAAGACCCATACTTATAGATATTTCTTCTCAATCTAGAAAGGAGAAGCCAAAAGACACGTTGTTTTCTTGAACAAGAAATATACGCTCTTTTCTTCCCTTTCCCCAAAGAAATAGGATTCTGAGTTCTAGTTAAATATGAACATCGTAGGGACCACATAATTAATTACTGAAGCTTCCTATTATGAAAATAACTCCAAAAATTAATTTGATTATTCTTACTATAATAAATTACAAATTATTCCACTAGAAATTTGTAATTGTACCCCTTTATTTATATTTTAAAATTCCTCATTAAACACTTATGTAATTCCACATGTTAAGATTACAAATACTAATCTGGGGCTGCATATTGGTCGGTTCGGTTCGGTTTTGAAGTTTATCGATTTGGCTTATTGGTTATCGGTTTGTAGAGATGCTAAACCGTTATAGAACCATTAAGATATTGACTTATCGGTTATTTTTTTATCGGTTTAACCGTTAAGATTTGACACAAAAAAAAATATTGAATATCACTTAGAAACAAGGTAACAAACCAAATAAATCATGCAAATGAGTCTTGCTCAAAAGCAAACACTTTTACATTGTAGAATAACCAAGTGTTTGGGACAACCAAAAATAAAAGTAGGAAACCAAACTCTAAGTCAAGGACTTTATATACAAAACGGTATAAATATAATTATCTAATTTACTATCGGGTTATCAGTTAACCCGTTAAGAAAAAACATCAAACCGTTAAGAACAGATAACCTGATAACAAAAAAAATAATCAAAACCGTTATCAAAACCGCTAAACCAATAACCCAATACTGATAAACCAATAACTTTTTATCAGTTCGGGTTATCGATTTCGGTTTGATTTTAAACAACCCTATACTAATCAATAAATTAAATTCCAAGTCATTCCCATGATCATTATATCCAATAAGGGTTCTTTCCACCATTAATGCAGGTTAAAACCCTTCCCCAAGATTAACCACCTAGATTCCAAGGCTTTTAAGAATCAAAATACAAGTAGGGAAGTAATTAACTTACCTTTACTAAAGAAATTGGTGGAAAAGCTGAAGAAACTGCCATAAATAGCCCTTCTCAATTCCAAGAACGAGGCTGTAGAAAATAAGAGGTTTTTGTAGAAATCTCACGTCTAAGATTAGAGAAATCAAGGATTGTATTGATAATTGAATGGTTGAGTTACATACTCTTTATATAGGAGAAGAGTCCTATACTAGCTACACTAGGAATCCTAATACAACACAAATATATTATTTACACCTTATCCTAGTCGACTACATTAGCTTTAGTCGTACAAAATATAAACTTGTACATAAATTAGGATTTAGTAGTCTAGTCCTAGTGTAACTTTAACTCAAACTCGTCAGTCAGATTCGTCGAACATGTTCCTTTGACATGTTCCATCAGTTTCCTTCAACACTTCCCCTCAAGCTAGTGAGTGGAGGGACTGTAACTCCTAGCTTGCTACGAAACTCAGCAAAAACCTATTTGGTCAATGATTTTGTATGAATATCAGCTAGTTGATCCTTAGACCTCACAAACTGAGTAAGAAGTTGTCCTCTGACCACCTTCTCACGCACAAAATGATAGTCTATTTCAACATGTTTGGTTCTAGCATGCATAACTGGATTAACTGTCATGTACAAGGCACTCATGTTATCATAATACAATGTAGGTACAGATCGAAGAAACACCTCAAGGTCATGAAGAAGATATATGATCCATGTCATCGTTGCTGCAATGGAGGCTAGTGCTCTATACTCAGCTTCAGCACTCGATCGGGCAACTGTGGATTGTTTCTTGGAAGTCCAAGAAATACAGTTTGCACCTATGTAGATGCTATAGCCTGTAGTTGATCTCCTAGTGGTGGTACAACCTCCCCAATCAGCATGAGTATCCATACAACCTACATGGTGATTGTGAAATAATTCTGAATCCAAAGTGTAAAGTACCTTTGATGTACCTGAGAATCCTTTTCACCATTTGAAGATGTTCACTGTTTGAATTTTGCATAAATTGGCTTGGTAAATTCACAGCATGAGTAATATCCGGTCTTGTGAGTGTCAAGTATTGAAGACTCCCTACTATCATTCTGTAAAAAGATGCATCAATCATGATTCCCACAACTTCATGTAAACCATGATTTTGAGCCAAATGAGTGGCTACAACCTTTGCTAAAGTCATTTCAGCTTTGTCCAGCAGCTCAACAACATACTTACTCTGACTAAAGTGGATACCCCCATCAAAATACTTAACCTCTACTCCTAGAAAGAAGTGTAAAGGACCAAGATCTTTCATGGAAAATTCTTTCCCAAGTTGGCGAACTAACTCGAAAACATGTGATGGATTACTACCTGTGATAATAATATCATCCACATATAACAAGAGAAATATGGTGCCTTTGTGAGCTTGCAATGTAAATAATGAAGAATCTGCCTTACTACAGATGAAACCAAGGTGTAGGAGATGCATGCTAAACCTATCAAACTAGGCTCTTGGTGCTTGTTTAATACCATACAATACCTTTTTAAGTAGACACACATGCTGAGGATACTTGGGATCAATAAATCTAGGAAGTTGACTCATGTACACCTCTTCTTGTAGGAACGCATGAAGAAAAACATTTTTGACATCGAGTTGTCAAATTTTCCCCCTTGAGCTGATGGCAGTGGATAGAACTACTTTAATAGTTGTGGCCTTAACCACAGGGCTAAAAGTTTCATCAAAGTCTATGCCTTCAAGCTGAGAGAATCCCCTGGCCACAAGTCTGACCTTGTGTCTATCTATTGTTCTATCAACTTTTAATTTGGTCTTGAACACCCATTTTGAGCCAACCAAATTTATACCAGGAGATTTGGGCACCAATATCCATGTCTTGTTAGTGTGTACAACATTGATTTCCTCATGCATTATTGCAAGCCAATGAGGTGACTTAAGTGCTTCCTTAGTAGTATTTGGTTTCCTCAAAATGTCTTTGCTGCTGCGAGCAACAAGTGATAAGTGGTGTTCCTTCGCCTTGTGTCTAGTGATCATATGACGCCCTTGTGGTGTAGGAAGTACCTCAACTGGTACATCAACCAAAGTAGTTGACTGGAGTGTAGCATTGTTAGATTGATTGATGGTCAACAGGTACATCAACTAAAGTAGTTGTTTGATGATGCTCATTGTCTGGACCTGTAAGTGCAACATGTTCCTCATTGCCACTAGCAGATCCAAAATCTGCAGCTGGAGCTTCAATACTATTGTATGGATCATCACATTCAACCTGTCACACCACTTTCCTTTTTTACAATTGTTAGAATATGACGATTTTTTTAAAAAAAATAAAATTGTTTTTGAGTCGTCACTTGAAATTGGAATTTTTAGGTGTTTCAAGTCACCTGGTAATTCCTAATTTAAAAGAGAAAAAAATAATTTATTTTTAGTCTACGAAAATAGAGATTGGGTAAGGAACTCTATTGACCGGAGGGAAGGTGTGAGGCACCCCCCGAGTCCCGTGGTTCTAGCACGATCGCTTTATTAACTCATGTTTGGCTAAAATAATTTTTGGATAAAAAGTAATTTTGTGTTAGTGATACGCTCAAATTACACCTCCCTAAAGAAGCATAAGCGATCGTTATCAAGTAAAGAACCCAACTTGTAGGCTGGGGTCAATCCCACGAGGAAAATGGTTTAGACTTTACTTTAACCAACAATTATATTCAATTAGTCAAATTACTTCCAGAAACAAGTAATTAAAGGTTTTTTTTTTTTGTGAAACAAATTGTAAGAATTCAATAAGTAATCAGTAAACAAAAGTCAATTTTGGTTATTATCAAGATGAGAGAATTAACTAGGGTATACGTGTTCCAGCTCATAACGCAGTAATCCTAGTAATAGCAATACTTTCCTAGTGTGCTACATGCAAAGTGATAAGTTAGGTATCTCTAAATCCTTGAGCCGGCATCTAGAGAATTTCACCCCGCACCTTGGTCCGGCTACGTCTATATAATTTACTAATCCTTACCTTTACCTCATATTAGACATCACATCGATGTTTGGCTTAGTTATTACTTCGCACCAATCGACACTAGCCTATTAGATAGTATCACACTAAATCTATGTTGATAATTCTTTTCTTGTTGATTACCTCCTTGGTCCGGCAAATAGCAACAAG